GCCGGGTGCCAAGTGCGCATGAGCGAGAAGCACTGCGCTTTGTGATTGGTCTGGGCGGCTTCTGGGACCTGTCATGTGTCCCAGGTGCCGCCTTACCATTCACAAAGCGCACCGCTTCTTGCGCATGCGCACTTGGCACCCGGCTGTCAAGCAGAGCGCCCACACTACAGAAGCCGAGAAGACAGCGCGCCGCTGGATAGAGGAACAGGTAAGGTCCCGCTGCAGAGCTGAGCAGCCGGCCCGGTATTCTGACACGGCAGCGGTGGAAATACCGGACCGGCCGCTCCATATTCGCTCCATAAGAAGCACTGACATTTTCCCCCCTTTTTTGGGGAGAAAAAAGTGCGTCTTATGGAGCGAAAAATACGGTATTTATTTGCAAAATTTTATACGAAAAACACTTTTTTTACTTTTTTCAAAATGTTTGTACTTTTTCATTTATATAGCAAAAAAAATAAAAATCCCAGTGGTGAACAAATACCACCAAAATAAAGTTTTATCTGTCTCAAAAAAAATGCTAAAAAATTCATGTACAGTGTTGCATGACCGCGCAATTGTCATTCAAAGTGTGACAGCACTGAAAGCTGAAAATTGGCCTGGACTGGAAGGGGGTGAAAGTGTCCGAACTTGAAGTGGTTAAAAAAAAAAAGCACAACAACCAAATCGCATGTGGTCTGGTGCAGGAAAACACACTGACACTTGCAGTGCGTTTTGAATGCTGTGCGACACATGGGTGTCCCGCGTTCTGATGTGAACTTGCCCCGACTCTCACTTCCAGGAACTGCATACATCCAGGTTAGTTAGCTAAGAAGACCACGATGATTATACGGCGATGGGACAGTGCGCAGGGTCGTACATCCATCCCGAATCGCTGGAGGTGCACATACATGTGCGCAGGGTCATACATCCATCCCGAATCGCTGGAGTGGCACATACATGTGAACAGACGCAGCTCCTCGCAGCCGCTCATTGTTTTGTCCAGGATTACTATTGTAAAGTTCAATAATACACAAGAATGAATGAGTTACCTATAGGATGGTTAATGTATGGCGTCTCTTCCATGTCCTTCCTCCTCTGCGCCTTGTGCTTCTCTGCTGCAAAGTGTGCTGCTTCTAGGAGGAGGGCGACCTCAGCCATCGCTGTCCCGGTTGTCACACACTACTGTGAAAGGAATGGAGGGTTATACACAGGGAAGTGATTACAGAGACAGCAGGAAGTGGGCAGGACTTAGTATTCTCCGGCAATAGAGACTCACAGAGAGCCTGGCAAGACACAGACATAGAATAACTGGATGATCTACTGAAGGAGGAGAATGAATCTGCTGAAGGAGGAGAATGAATCTGCTGAAGGAGAATGAATAGATCTGCTGAAGGAGGAGAATGGATCTGCTGAAGGAAAAGAATGGATCTGCTGAAGGAGAAGAATGGATTTGCTGCAGCTGCATTCATTTCATCTGATCCCATGCAAGGAGATTCCTTACCATTAATCCACTCCTGAATCTTGTGTATCCCTGAGTGGTGTGCATGCTCTCTTCACACACCGACCATGTGCAGGCTTTAGCCCGGGTTCACATATATGCGGTGCATTGCATGTGATTCGCACATGAACCGCACCGCATTCCTGTGCAAATCACATGTGATTTGTGTACGGTGCGAAATTTTGTATGGCTCTAATCACACCGCACCCACACCAAAAAGGTGCAGGACCCTTTTTTTGGGTCCGCAGTAGAATCAGATTGCATGGGTATTCACAGCTATGCAATCGAATTCTGCACATCGCACCATGTTTTGCAGACCGCTTTCGGGGTGTTGTTAACACACACACCCGCAGTGGTTCGCATGAACGGGGTGCGATTCTGATGCGGTGCAGAATTTGCACAGAAAACATTGCGAATTCGCACTGCATCAGTGTGAACCAGGGCTTAGGCTACATTCACACAGGTGATGCCATGAACATAGTACGCTGTGTTCAGAGGAGCTTGTCCCTAGTTGAATGCAGGACTCTCCCTAACTCAGGGGTGCGCAACCTTTTGAAGCACGAGGGCCACTCAAAGTGTTACTAACAGTAAAATCAGTCTATATATGCAGTAAAGCATGCTTGTTATACTCACTGTGGAAGCTGAGTAGAGCCATCCAGAGCAGTGTGTGCACAGTGAAGCAAGCCCCGCCCTCTAGTAAAACACTCTCATCACACAGTTAACCCTTTGATCGCCGCACATGTTATCCCTTCCTGCCCAGTGCCATTAGTACAGTGTCAGTGCTTTTTTTTTTTTTAGCACTGATTACTGTATTGGTGTCAATGGGGATGTCAGTGACACCAAGTCAGTTCCCCCCAGTGTCAGAATGCCCGCTGCAGTCTCGCTATAAGTCTCTGATCGCCGCTATTATTAGTATGAAAAAAAAAATTCCAGTATCTATACCACCATTTGTAAACGCTATAACTTTCACGTAAACCAATTAATTTACACGTATTGGGATTTTTTTTTTTTAGCAAAGACATGTCGCAGAATACTTTTGGCTTAAATGTATGATAAAATTTGATTTTTAACTTTTTTTACTGGACATGTTTAATAGCAAAAAGTCCAAAATATAGTTTTTTTCTCAAATTTGTCAGTTTTTTTTTTATAGCGCAAAAAATAAAAACGCACAGGCAATCGAATAGCACAGAAAGAAAGCTCAATTCATGGGAAAAAAAGTACGTAAGTTTCATTTTGGTGCAGCGTTACATGACCGCGCAATTGTCAGTTAAACTAACGCAGCGCTGTAATGCAAACCGCTTCTTTAACTGCTTCCTGACCGTCCTATAGCAAAAATACTGCTACAGGGCGGCACCGGTGCGCAAAATCACATACGTATATATGTGATGTGTGCTCCCATGGTTTTCACGCCCCTCCTAGATAGCATCAGATTGCGCGCGTCAGTATACTAGTCATCACATTTAACCCCTTGATTGCCAGGAAGAGGTTCATACACAATAGATCTCCATTGCTAGTATAGTGTCTGAATGGATCAATATCTTTGATTAGATCAGCATTATACCAGCGTTCACATTAGTATAGTTTCACCAAAAATGCAGCGTTAGCGGGATCAGCCCCGGCACCTGCAAGGCACCTGTGTTTAGCCCGTACGCTTACCCCCCCCCCCCCTTCTCCCCCAACAAGTGCAGTGTCAGTAGGTCACTGTCACTTGATATTGCACACAAAACCGCAGTGTTGGCAGAATCAGGTTTGATCTGTGTTAGCACTTGCCGGTAAATTTTGATGACTCTCAAATGCAGCAGTGTCAGTACTAGTGCCACGCTACCTTTTGGTGAACTGGTGAGCGCCAGCAGCCTAGTACATCCTGGTCTTTCACATACCAGCACTGCAATATCACTTGGTGACATGACAAGACCCATAAGTGTAGTACAAGCTGGTGTGGTGGCAAGCACAAGTATTGTCCCGCAACAACCAAGAATTCGCACAAAGGCCCGTAGAGCCCCTAGTATCCGTCCGGATGTGCTTGCCAATCCTGATTGGCAGTCCACAAATTCTGCAGCACCTGTACTTCCCCCATTCACTGCCCAACCCAGAATTCAGGTGGAAACAGCAAATTTAACTACTTCCCTTGATTTTTTTGGAGCTGTTTTTCATGGAAGATCTGTATGCGTTGATTGTGGATCAAAGCAATTTATATGCACGACAATTTATAGCCGCCAACCCAAATTCAAACTTTGCCAGACCATTCGCATGGAAACCCATTACGGTTTCCGAATTTAAATTTTTTTGGGCCTAACCCTCCACATGGGCAACACTAAAAAAAAATGAATTGCGGTTGTATTGGTCCACAGACCCGATTCATCCTATGCCGTGTTCTCTGCTGCCATGGCCAGGCATAGATATGAGAGTATAATGTGTTTTATGCATTTCAACGACAATACACTCTGTCGTCCTCGAAGTGACCCTGAATTTGGCCCCTCGTAAATCACCTTAACCAAAAATTTGCCAATGTCTATACTCCCCAGCATAAATCTGTGTTGACGAGTCCCTCATTAATTTTTCTGGCCGCCTTGCATTCAAACAATTTCTCCCCAGCAAGCGTGGCAGATATGGGGTCAAGATGTAGAAGACCTGTGAGAGGGCAACAGGCTATACTTATAAGTTTAGGATTTACGAGGGAAAAGATAGTCACGTGGAGCCCCCCGGATGCCCAGACTACATGGGGAGCAGTGGCAAGATAGTTTGGGACTTGGTGTCATCCTTTTTCCATATGGGGTACCACTTATACGTGGACAATGTTTATTCAAGCGTGCCACTATTTAAACATTTGTTCAATCATGGAATTGGCGCTTGTGGCACTGTGCGACCTAATGCTTGCCCACCATTAGAAGTGGGTGGATGCAGGGCTGTATATTTTAATGGTTGACATATCACACACTTTTTCTGGCAGAGATTTCTTCTCTTTCTTTCATTCAGCCCAAAGGCTGCATACAACAAAAAAGAACATAGCATATACACCCGAGGACCAGCGACGTACTGGTATATCACTGGAGTTTTAATGGTTATATGACCGCTCTAATAGCAGACAATAGGGTGCGACTTGGCATACGATTTGCAAGTCGCAGGGCATGCAAATTGCATGCCAAGTCGCACCCGATGTGACCGGGGGGGGCTAAGAGTAAAATCAACTGCAACCTGGGAAGCTCTGGACGTTATAGGATGCAAGGGAGCTGATGCAGAGATTTCTGTATATCCAGGAGCAGATCAGATCCTCTGGACACATGAAAACACAGGTACATTTAAATGCGGGAGACAGTGATCTGTGAATTAAAAAAAAAAAATGTGCAGCTCAGGGTAGATTCATTTTTTTTTTTAATTGTAGAAGTGACATTGCATGCAGAGAAGTTGATCTGGGAGAAGTAATCGCATTTCACAGATCACTGTCTCCCGCATTTAAATGTACCTGTGTTTTCATGTGTCCAGAGGATCTGATCTGCTCCTGGATATACAGAAATCTGGTCTCCCAGGACCCTTCATTTACTATATCCGCTCTCCCCGGACCCTGCATTCACTATATCTGGTCTCCCAGGACCCTGCATTCACTATATCCGGTCTCCCCGGACCCTGCATTCACTATATCTGGTCTCCCTGGACCCTGTATTCACTATATCTGGTCTCCCCGGACCCTGCATTCACTATATCTGGTCTCCCCGGACCCTGAATTCACTATATCTGGTCTCCATGGACCCTGTATTCACTATATCTGGTCTCCCAGGACCCTTCATTTAGTATATCCGCTCTCCCCGGACCCTGCATTCACTATATCTGGTCTCCCCGGCCCTGCATTCACTATATCTGGTCTCCCCAGACCCTGCATTCACTATATCTGGTCTCCCCAGACCCTGAATTCACTATATCTGGTCTCCCCGGACCCTGCATTCACTATATCCGGTCTCCCAGGACCCTGCATTCACTATATCCGCTCTCCCAGGACCCTGCATTCACTATATCCGCTCTCCCAGGACTCTGCATTCACTATATCCACTCTCCCACAGTACACAGAACATGGAAATGCATTTTTAAATATAAACTGCTAAATATCTTTTCAAATCAGCAGTTAGAGCAGTCTTGTGACTTCTATCAGTGTTCAGCTGAGCACTGGTTACAGCTTGTAGGAGGAGCTTTCTGCTCTAGGAGGATGCAGGACCCCTAACCTCTATCTGGTCAGTTCTGATTGGCCTTGTACTGATCACATGCACTCTCCCAAGAAAAAAAACTCTCTAGCAATACACACCAAATTGAGCATGTGCAGAGTTTCTCCACACCATATGTCTTATCAGGAGATAAGAGGGGGACACTGGAAGAAGGGAGGATTAGAGAAGACAGGATCAAACAGCCTTTTTACACAATGCACAGGATTAACTCCTTAAGTTCCACAGTGAGTATACCAAGCATGCATTACTGCATATACAGACTGATTTTACCATTGTAGGTTTAGTAACACTTTAAGGGAAAGGAATTCCATTGGACAATGCACAGTTTTATAGCCAGTTTTAATATTTCAGAGGTGCCTGCCACCCAGCCAAACTATGTGCAAGATTCCAACACCTATTGTTTCATAACCAGGATTGACATGACAAAAATGCCTCTAGTTCTGTAGAGCTACAGCAGTGCCTCCCATCTCACAAGACTAAGTGCTAGATACTGGGCATCCCATATTACTGCCTGTGATTACCTACTGAGCTCATCTAGGTACCTGTACCTAATAGAATGTAATGGTGTTACTTTCTGCCAGGCAGTGTAACATGGGGTACCCTCAGATACCAGATAACCCCTAGAGCAGGGGTCTCCAAACTTTCTAGACAAAGGGCCACTTTACTGTCCTTCAAACTTTGGGGGGGGGGGCATTGAGAGTAGATGTCAGTGGGGAAAAAAAAATGCCCCATTGTTGGTGTAATTGGGAGAAATTGTGACCCATTGTTGGCGTCATTGGGAGGAAAAGGGCCCCATCATTGGTGTCATTGAGCCCCATTCTTGGTGTCATTGGGAGAAATTGTGACCCATTGTTGGCATCTTTGAAAGGAATAGGGCCCCATCATTAGTGTCATTTGGAGGAATAGTGCCCCGTCAGTGGTGTCATTGGGCCCCATTGTTTTTGTCATTGGGAGAAATTGGGACCCATTGCTGTTATCATTCGGAGGAATAGTGCCCCATCATTGGTGTCATATGAAGGAATAGTGCCCCATCAATGGTGTCATTGAGCCCCATTGTTGGTGTCATTGGGAGAAATTGTGACCCATTGTTGGGTGTCATTGGGAGGAATAGTTCACCATCAGTGGTGTCATTGGGCCCCATTGTTGCTGTCATTGGGAGAAATTGTGACCCATTCTTGGCGTCATTGGGAGAAATAGTGTCCCATCATTGGTGTCAGTAGAGGAAATTATGCCCCATCATTGGTGCCAGTGGTCCCCATTGACAGTGTCATTGGGAGGAATTGTGCCCCATCATTGGTGCCAGTGCGGGGAATTATTCCCCATTGTTGGTATCAGCAGACGAAATGGTGCCCCAAGGGCCAGATAAAAGCAAGCAAAGGGCTGCAGTTTGGAGACCACTGCCCTAGAGTCACAGCACATCTCTTTAGGGCAATCAGGGTGGCTTAGTGGTTAGCACTTCCGTCTGGCAGTACTAGGGTCATTGGTTTGAATCCCAACCACGGCACCACCTGTCTGGAGTTTGCATGTTCTCCTTGTGCCTGCGTGGGTTTTCTCCGGGTACTCCAGCTTCCTCCTGCACTCCAAAGACATGCAGGTAGGTTAATTGGATCCTGTCTAAATTGTCCCTAGTATCTGTATGTATGAATGTGAGTTAGGGACCTTAGATTGTATGCCCCTTGAGGGGTAGGGACTGATATGAAAGTACAATATATATATATGTAAAAGAGCTGCGTAAATTGACGGCGATATATAAGTACCTGAAATAAATAAATGATGCACGTTTGCTGAAATGTAGATCTTGCTGTTGGCATGAATTATATTTAGTGTTCTGTGTGTATTCCAGGGTAGGCATAGATCTCCCTGGTGGCATAGATACTGGAAAGGAATCTGCACATCTTGGGGTGCAGATCTCACTGGTAAAATGCATACTGGTAAGTAAGCTGAATGCTCTGTAGTGACGTGAATGCTTTGGAATGAGATGTGTAAAGTGGTGATATGGATTTTAGAGAGTGAGGTATGTGTGTTAGAGTGCATATCAGGACGAAGTCACGAGTTACGTGATGCAACGCGTCGACGGCAATAGCGTGGTGACGTACTTCCGGCGTGACGCCATCTTGGAACACCTTTTGATCATGCTTACACCCAGCTTACTGCTATGACCTGGATACAGGCTACTATTATGTGAGTGTATATCTCTTTTTTGGCTTATCTTTATTCTGCCATTAAAAAGCAGTATTACACTATGAAGATTGTGTTCTCTTCTTGATTTATGAGCATACGAGCTTTGACACTTGAGGAGGGTATATCCCATTTGCCTATTGGTCCGGTTGAATACTGTCTATATGATGACTGCCCACACCATCCTACCTGAGGAGCCACCAGTTTGAGGGATCCAGAGGTGATCTACATTTGCTTTGTGGCCCTGCGGGATCGTAGAGTGGAAGTGAGAGGCCATTGCAGCCATACTGCTTGGGATCACGTTTTGAGTGTGCTGTGATTCACCTGCACGTCTTGGAAATAACAGCATTTGTATGAACTGTGGACACTTTATTTTGCACAAAGCCACTGTTATCTGTTTGGCCTCTCCTGCAGATATTCACCTGGTCTTTATTGAGTACCCTTTGGTTACTAGGGGTCACTGTCTCATGTATATTCCCATGTGGATTTGGGTCATCTGTTGCCCCGTTTGTTAAAGTCTAATTTTCTAGTATTTTATGTAAATCACTTTTAATACCTTTTGAGTGTTTTATTATTAGTTATAGCGCTGCATTATTTTTTTTATGTATTTGTACTATTGTTCCTACTTGGTATAGGTTAGATGCTGGCTGCTTTTTAGTTAAGTTCATCATTTACCGTAAAAGCGCAGGAGGACAATTTTTTTTATATATTTTACTAGTGACATGGATAATGGGAAGTGACCTGTGTGTCCTGGAGTCAGATCTTAATGATGACATGGATAATGGGAAGTGACATGTGTGTCCTGGAGTTCGATCTTAATGATGACATGGATAATGGGAAGTGACCTGTGTGTCCTGGAGTCAGATCTTAATGATGACATGGATAATGGGAAGTGACCCGTGTGACCTAGAGTCAGATCTTAATGATGACATGGATAATGGGAAGTGAGCTGTGTGTCCTGGAGTCAGATCTTAATGATGATATGGCTAATGGGAAGTGACCTGTGTGTCCTGGAGTCAGATCTTAATGATGACATGGATAATGGGAAGTGACCTGTGTGTCCTGGAGTCAGATCTTAATGATGACATGGATAATGGGAAGTGACCCGTGTGACCTAGAGTCAGATCTTAATGATGACATGGATAATGGGAAGTGACCTGTGCGACCTAGAGTCAGATCTTAATGATGATATGGATAATGGGAAGTGAGCTGTGTGTCCTGGAGTCAGATCTTAATGATGATATGGCTAATGGGAAGTGACCTGTGTGTCCCGGAGTCAGATCTTAATGATGATATGGATAATGGGCAGATCTTAATGATGATATGGATAATGGGAAGTGACCTGTGTGTCCTGGAGTCAGATCTTAATGATGATATGGATAATGGGAAGTGAGCTGTGTGTCCTGGAGTCAGATCTTAATGATGACATGGATAATGGGAAGTGACCTGATGACATGGATAATGGGAAGTGAGCTGTGTGTCCTGGAGTCAGATCTTAATGATGATATGGATAATGGACAGATCTTAATGATGACATGGATAATGGGAAGTGACCTGATGACATGGATAATGGGAAGTGAGCTGTGTGTCCTGGAGTCAGATCTTAATGATGATATGGATAATGGGAAGTGACCTGTGTGTCCTGGAGTCAGATCTTAATGATGATATGGATAATGGACAGATCTTAATGATGACATGGATAATGGGAAGTGAGCTGTGTGTCCTAGAGTCAGATCTTAATGATGACATGGATAATGGGAAGTGAGCTGTGTGTCCTAGATTCAGATCTTACTGGTGATATGGATGCTAGGGAGTGAGCCTGGTGAGTGCCTAGGTTCATATCTGACTGGTAAAATGGATGGGAGTGAGGTTTGTGTGTGTTGGAGTGCAGATCTTACTGGTGACATGGGTACTGCAGTGTGAGATTTGTGTTCTGAAGGCTAGGTTCACACTGGAGTAAGTAAACAGTGTCCTTGTGGTATGCAATATGTGGGATGGACCACGTGGGCACTGGAAGTTAGAATTGGGGAACATCTGGCAAATATCAAAAAAAAGGCTTTACAGGACACAGTCTGTCAAAGCACTATGTCAGATTTCATAATAAAGATCCTTCCACTTTAAAATTGGTTGCTATACATAAATACTTTCCTAATTGGCGTGGAAGTAACCACAAGAGGGATATTTCACAATGCGAAACCCAGTGGATTTACCATCACAGAACTTATTATCCACTGGGTCATAATGTCGAGTGGGATATTAACTGTTTCATTAACAATTCTTAATATTCTCCCTTTTCCTCTCTCTTGTGTTCAATTGTATTTATTTTATTGACTGTTTTATTGGTATTTTTAAATGTTTTTGCTGGTTTATGTCCAGAATTAGTCTGTGAAAATGAAGTCTCAGTTTGGAGATCCTGAAGCATATAGTAATATGAGGATGTAGAATTTGTTTTTGACCACAAGATGTCGCCCTTTCTTCGGGCTCTCCTTGATATCTATATACTTTTTGTTCTTATTTGGTAATTAGTTAATTCTGATAATTACCCTTTTATGTGACCTTTTATGTTTTGGCTATTTTTGTGCAGACATTATTGTTTTATGTAGATATTTTTTGAGTGGTTAGCCTGCAGTTTCCCCTTCCTGGACTTAAGGTGATTTAG